TGTTAAAACTTCTGTTCAGAAAACAACAGACAGATGTTGAACAGGCTGAATTGCAGAGTGACTCTCTGAAACTCTTAACCCACGTACGAGTGTAGGTGCACCGTGCAAAGGGTGGAGGAAAAATTGCATGCATCTGAGTGTAGCTCGCACACACACGCTTGCAATACATTTTTGTCTCCCCTCCTTGTGGTCACAGCTGTGAATACACAGAAGAGCTAAGAGCCCAAATGTCAGTAGGATAAGGTGTCGCCTCCCACCTCCACTGCCCTCACTGCTAGTGATGAGAGGAGAGGAGAGGAAGAAAAGAGAGTACTGGGATAAAAAAGAGACAGGAAACGAAACTAGGTAAAACTTCTGAGCAACAACCCAAGTTTATAGAAATTGAAGAAAAAAAAGAACTGGGGAAGCTGTGACACAGTTTCTCACTCAAACCACACCCCATTCTACTACCTCTATATAAACAGCCAAATCTTAAAATAGAGGCCTGAGATCCTTTTACTGTTAACACCAGCAATTACAGTAGGTTCATTCTGATCAATATGTAGATGGAAATCACAATACCTACCCTCACTTTGTTTACTATCTCTGCTTGTGGCATTTACTTTACCTGATCGATAACAGAGGACGTTTCAGCTATACTTTTATTCTGATACTCTTCTGTTCTTTACACACCTTTAATGACATCGGGGATGTACCTAAACTAAAGTAAGATCAGCATTTCCCCAAAACCAAACTAAGGAACTTCTGTTATGTGGGAGGAAAGACGCTGTCTAGTTTCCCTTCACCTTGCAGCCTCACAGGTTTCTATCTCTGATGGATGTGGAACAGGGAGCTACAAAAAAGAATTTACTGAGCTTCTCTGGGGTTGAGTAGGGTTAAATTAAAATCCCAGTTCGAATATCAAAATAATGTAACATGGTTTTAGTTAAAAATATGATTTCTTCTAAAGTATTAGCAGCGATTTCTATGTGTGCCATAATATATACCGGTACTGAAAACATGTTTTTATGGGTTCCCACCCACCAACCCATTACTTATGGTTTTATGTCCTTTATAAGGATAATGTACAATGAATGATCGTGACTACATGGGACACAATTTGTAGTAAATGACAGTAATTATGTGTTTGGGTGCACATATGTATATACCAACAGTACACACATTACACCTTACCATAAATCACAGGTGACATTTATAATGTCAACACAACAACCAGTGAATGGCTACTGTAGACTGCCAGTTTTCACACTTTAGATTTGTACAAATATAACAGATATAACATGGCAACAGAGCTTTGGCGGTGCATGTAGGCAGGTGTTTTTTACCTTTGACAAGACAGCTGTTTCCATTCTGTATGCTAAGTTAATCATCTCCCAGCTGTAGCTTCATATTTATGGTATAGGCATGAGATTAGTATCAGTCAGGGATAGAGTGGGTCGACCTCTGATCGCAGGGTTGGCGGTTTAATTCCCAGTCTCTCCAGTCCACATGCAGAGGTGTCCTTGGGCAAGACACTGAACCCAAAGTTGCTCCCGGTGGCCAGGCCAGTACCCTGCATGGTGGCTCCGCCACCTTCAGTGTATGAGTGTGTACGTGAATCTGTAAAGCACTTTGTAGAAGTAAGGTAGAAAAGTGCTATATAAGAGCATTAGAGCAATTTGTGACTGCTACACGATGGAATGTAGACTCCAAAACAAACTCAGTGACCATTCTTGATATGCTCTATAAACATATACACATACATTGCATGTTAACCAAACAAAGCTATTTTCACACCAACTGCTGATTCGTGATTCATGAATTTTGTTGAGGTCACCAAAGCTGGGCAGTGTGTGCTCACACTAGGCCTAGAGGAGGGTTGTGATGGAGGGCCAGACAATAAAACTACTTGACTGAAGTTAGGACAAGACTGTTGCAAAACCACAACCTTTCCCTGATCATGGAATATCGTGATCATGGTTGAACAATAAAAATGTCAAAAGTGACTAATAGTGTGAACCAAAGCCACAAGTCTTACAGCAAAATAGCTAGACATCCATGCACGGCACCAAACTCCGCATCCATATATGAACAGATCAACGTAATGGTATCGGGAGTCATGGTATTGATAAAGTGAATTAAAATAATGCAAAAGAAAGTTCTGCTGTCATGGTGTCTCAAGGTGGTGACAGTTGTTTTTCTAGCATCCACACCAACGCTGCCAAAAATGTACACTGTGTTTTGGTCACAGGGTGGCTGAAGGGCCTGTAGACTGTCATTCTGTCTCTACTGGCTCTTCTTTTGTAACTTTTCCAAATGACGTACACGTTGAAATTCCACCTAACAATCTTACTGAGCTATTTTAGTGCAAAATAAAGCCCCATAGTGTGACAATGTTGCAAGGAAGATGCTGTGGTTAGCTGACTTTGTCCAGCGACTGACTCACTTTTCAGGCCATGTGACTTCTGTTTTCAATTTGTGGTTAGTTTTTGAAATAGCAGCGAGTTGCCCAGATGGCCTCAGAAAAGCAGCGTGTGTCATTTCATTGTGCAATTCAAACCAAAGACAGCAGCCTTTCATTGCCAACTTGTGCTTGAAATAATGAAGACTAGTGCCAATGTGGCCTTGAAGCCCTGGTTGTGTACCCTCTCAATATTGTTTCTGCAATAATTAAGCGAATAACGTGGAATTAACCTCAGAAAATGTAAAAGAAAAAAGTATGCAGGACAGTGTTAATAAACAGTGAGTCAGGGAGCAATGACTAATTTCTTCATCAGTAGCACGTTTGTTTATTTCAGTTCCTTTCTGGGGCTGAATCCAGAACCACAGTTGTTCTGTTTTGGCAGTTTTGCCAAGTTTGCAGTCACTTCTGTAATGGAGGGCAGTGGCAAAGTTAGATTTACATACAAGTTGCTTATTTGTTGTTTCATAAGCTTACACTTAAAAAAGGTTAACTGTATGCTGCCCTTCCTTTTGCTTTCTGTTCTAACCGTAAATGCATCTCGCCCCTCTCTCGCTCACAGTAATCTGGAGCAGAAGTATTGTAGGAGGCTTTCGGTAGTTTCACTATGTGTATCGAATGTAGATGCAGTTCCTAGAACATGATCTATTGCTAAAATAATCATGAGAAACGTGTGAGATGTGTAATAGGCAGACAGTTGCCTGTTGATACATTACTGTATATTTTTTACTTAGTGAGATACAGTCATGGTTTGATGGTGCTGATGTACTGTGGCACCTGTCAGTGGCAGATGTATAGTAAAGTGACCATACAGTACCAGCTATAGATTAAACTGTGTTTTTAATAATGTTGGGGAAAAAAATTGTGAGGTTAACAGGAGCTCTAGGGAATATTCACACATAGTGCATGTACATTTAAGTCTGCAGCCAACCTCTGCAAACTCACACTTTGGTGCTTTGAGCTAATGCTAGCATCAGCGTACTAACATGGTGATGCTGACATGCTGATATTTAGCAGGTATAAAGTTTACGATATTCATCATCTTATTTTAGTGTATTAGCATTTGCACAAAAGTAGAGGCTGTCCATTAGTTTTGCAAGTTTTGGGTCACAATATTTTGGATCTGATGATGGCGCTAGATTAAAAGTCAGGGTCACCCAAGTCAGTAGAATTGAATTGGTTGCATCAAACCACAATGAAGCACTTTCCTGTTTCTATGTACATGTATTCAAATGCAACTGTCAAAGATGCAGTCATGCTCTATTTCTAAATATCCTGTCTATCTTTACAATAAACAGAAAGTAACCCTGCATAATATAACTGCTTTAAACAGAATGTGCTTGGTGCTCCGCTGTTGGGTGAATGTCTGTGTGGTTCTGTTAGAGGCTGAGACGCTGGCCTTTCTAATTGGAGAAGTCGATACAAGTCTGCCGTGTGGCAGCACACCGGTAGTGCTGATCTATACCTACTACATAGATGTCAGACCTGGGTACCTGACACCATTAAAAGATGACTTCTATTGCACTAACATGATGTTGCTTGCTTAAGAGTCACTTCCTGATTACAAGAATCTTCAGTCTCAGAGGTGGAAATAACCAAATACCATGTGTTTCACTGTTCTAGGAGGAAATCCATATTTGGATCTTCATACTGAAATGTGAAGTCTTTGTTGGAAACACGGAACTTTCCTATTAGGTTTCAGATTCAAACTTAATTCCACAGAAATATTTATCACTTAGAAAGAAAATAACCATTGTGAAAAAACTGAAGGTTCGGTGTGATTTGTGTGTTCTTGTATTTGTACCATACTGTTCTCTATAACCCTTCTATCAGCTCAGTTACTGACTGTCTGAACTCAAAAATGGGCCTGTTTAGTTGCATGTACAGTATAATTGTCATATAATTGCAAGACGCAGCGGAGTGTGTTTTATCCAGATTCACATCAGCTCACCACCCATGTTGGAGCCTCACTCCCTGGAGAGTTTCTCTACTACTCTCCTTCCTCTTTTATCCCTTGTTTTCTTGTGTATGTAAACAGAAGTAAAGCATTTTGGACTCCAAGGCAGAGCATGATGATCAAACACAGTGCACGATCAGTGATTGAAGACACATCTGACATCTCGTATAAATGTATTTCATACAGATGAAACATCAGAAATGATTCGCTTCACGGGTGATTCACAGAAAAGTAATTTGCTTCACGAGCCAGTGGCCGCGCTTTCTCTCTTTAGACTGAAAGAAAAATAATGACAACAGTGTTTAAGCGGGGAAAGGCTTGGTCTCTGTTCTTGCACGTTGCAGTACTAGCTCCACATGCATTATGACTACATCATCCAGAGGTTGTAGGCCTGTAAGATTAAATACAGGGAGGAGTCAGATAGAAATCAGAGAAGCTCTAAGAAGTTTCACTACTTGTTGTCTTGTGTCTCAGATGTACAATTCCTCATGATGCGTTTCAAAGTCTAACAGGAATGAATCAGTCAGAAGACACAGACCCTTGTTTTTCTTTCTTCATTTTCTGTGCCTGTTGATACACTGAGTCAGAAAATAGTCATATATTAAGCATCAATCCAAAAGCCTAGCATGTCAGACAGCCCTTAAAGTAAAAAAAGCTGCACCCTAAAGCTCAACTTCACTCTTTTTTTGTCAGAGGGTTTTCACACTTGAGCAAAAGTAAGTGAAGATAATGTGAGAAAAGACTTCCTGTTCATGGTGGCGTATCTGAAATGAAACTTCCTGTCGCTGAACGTTAAGGTAAAGGCAGGCTTTTTTGGTGTGACGTCACTCTTACTTGCCTGACTTGAAACCAGAGGCGAGGTTTAGGGTTTGGGGAACAAGTCCAGGAAGCTGTGTCGACTGATAAGACGCAAAACGTATGTAGCTTAAAATAAGACAACATTTTCAGTTATTTCTCTTTTCGAGTTGAGTTTAGAATCAGAAATACGGGTTCAATTTGCCGTGTGAATATCTGTCCATTGGTCCCCACTAGGACTGTATCGTATGGTGTGTCGCCGTCCACACCCTAACTCCTGGACATGGCAGGTCTCTGTGGTCTGAAGATCCTACTGCTGTGGGCTGGTATCATCGCTTTGAGTAAATGTAAGTACCCTCTGACCTTCTCCCTTGGGGGGGGGGGATTCTTTATGAAGAGTTGTGTTCTGTGTGCCATCTGAAAGTCTTCAAGAAGTTAAAATCTGTAAATGGTGCAAAACATGAAGGTGATGAGGTCTGTTGTTCTAAATGTCAGCATGTGATCACATTTATGAGAAAAAATTTAATATACTCTGTGTCTGACAGCGGAGCAGTTTGACAGTTTGCTTTTGTTGAAAGCTGGAAAACATCACTACACAAAATGTAATCGTTTAAAGCCCAAACCGAGGGCAGAGATGTCAAGCTACAGTATAGCGTGTCTTTGAGTCGTGTCTCTATTTCTGCTACTTCACTTTTCTTAAACTTCCCAAACCCAAGAACAGAAGACTGTACAAGTACATACTTGTGATGTGCAAAGCCGAACAGTGACGGGTTTGCGAGCCCCTTTGGCAAAAGAATAAACACTTATGTAAAATCAAAGGCCGCTGATAATAAGAAGAGTCTCTTTATAACATGTTCTTTAATTTGGTGCAATACTTTGGGAATTTTTACAGTCATGTTTCTGTTCTGCTTTGACAGTGTGTGTGTGTGTGTGTGTGTGTGTGTGATGGTGAGAGTGTGCATGTGTGTGTGTGGAGGGCGAATGGTGTGTGTGTGAGAGTTGGGGGGGGGGCCCTACCTCACTGCCTCTAGCATCACTCAGAGGTTTGCTCCTATTCAATACAAACCTTTTCTGCTATTTTCACCTTAAACATCTGTTCACACGAGCTGTAACAAACCGATCACTGTATTTATTTCAGTGTCGTCTTGTCGTCAGTCAGGGTTAGTATTTGCCATTTGTTTCTAACACACATTTCTGAGCTAGGGTGCAAGGTGAGTCATCATGGTACACCGCATCAACAGACGTTTGCTTTTTATAGGTCCTCGTTTTTCCATTGATCCACCATCATTTCTCTAAATTAAACATTGTGCTGAGCTGCAAATAATTTAAATTTCATTAACTTAGCTTAACAATGATAGGTTATAACCAGTGGTGGATAACAAATACAAAGGGGCTTTATTGGCATTAAAGTAAAAAAAAAAACTGTTACCGCAGCGTCAAAATACAATTTATATTTTATAAATATCTAAAAAGTTGGACAGGTGCACAATAATAACATTAAAATGGATTAATTTCCAAATCTCAAAATAAAATATGGCTTAAAAATGTGATAGTGTCCTCAGCCCACTGCACTATATGGCAGTGAAGTATGGGGTCCACTCAGCCATTATAGCTATACTTGTTGGGACAAACACCCAGCAGAATCTTTACATGCAGACACATTTTCCATGTTCACAGAAAAACACCAACATGCAGCATTCATGTCCAGCAGAAGCAGGCAGGTACCCACTGGTAATTAACATCGCCTTAATTTCAGCCCCCTAGTCACTGTCCACTGCAAAGCCCCTAAAGCCAAGAGCTGAGCCCAGACAGGACCCCTGTGTTAGAAGTCAGACTAACCACCTCCTCTCAGACACACTGACCAGTCTCACTACGACACCTTTCCAAGCTCGAAGGGCACTTTAGTACCACTCTAATGCACTTCGTGTGTCTTCTGCTTTTATGGTACTTTATGCTTCTGTGCTATGACATCACAGGAAAACATTGGGTATTTTACATGATCTCACTTTGCAGATTAATATTTGGAAAACTTCTAGTAAATGTATAAAATACAGTGCATTGCTACATAATGAATGGAACTACCAAATAGCCACCCCCTGTTTCCACGTGCACTGAATGCATCAGTAGTAATTATCTAACATTATAATATAAAACAACATAAATGTGACAAAGGAAATGTTGCCGAAACAGCTGGTGGATACTTTTATCATATTTTATATAAATACTTTCTTCAGTTTTACTTAAGTACAGTTTTGAATGCAACATTTTTACTTTTGACAGACACAAAGTGGTATTTTACCCAAGTAAAAGATCAGAATTCTTCTTCCAAAACTGTTTAAAATCCAGTAAAATAGCATTTAATTAATGTATTTTATTATATAACACATCATTAAGAGGGGCACTGGTGTAGAAGGGGAATATTTATTAATGCATTGAATATTAATTATGTATATGCTGTGTACAAATGTCTTTTTTTTTGGTCATTAAACCAAGTAAAAGTCTCTGAGTTTTACATGGACTTTTTATTATATAATACCATACAAATACATACTTACTATTGAAACATATGGATTAAGTGTGCATATACAGTAATGGTATATCACCATAATATTATATAGCAGACAGTAAGAAACACAGTATGTCTTAGTCCCAAGTCCCCAAATTAGTTTGTGTTTAAAAATTGGCTCAACTAGTTCTTCCCTGTGGTTTTCTCATCATTGTTGCTGAACAATTAGAGTAAATGGGGGAGAGCTGCTCTTAAGATGCAGATTTTCAAGTGTTCTTTAGCTGCAGCAGGACACAGTTGTGTGATCAAATATTCGACCACTTCCGTGTTCCATTCTGAGTTGCCTTCACTTCCTGGCAGAGCAGATCGGTGCGGGCCGAGCCGACTGAAGCAGAGCAGTAAATGACTTGAGAATTCTTAAACAAAAGGGGAAGTGCTGTGCCTAAAATGAAGAAGTGAGGTCAGAGAAATTAAGCATGCTGCACTATTAATGCAGACTCTGGCAGGAGGTGGAGGGTACTTGGCACAAAGTCTGCATCAAATGCAAAATATGATAAAAGATATAAAAAGAAAACTGTTACTGTACATGAGAGATAGATCCAAACACTGGATGTCAGTCATGTAAATGAATTCAGTGAAAGGCGTTTGCAGGCACCTGAGCACCAGTTGTCACCAAACTGTAGCTCCTGTTGTCTTGTTGTGCATCTCTATGGTTGCACTGTCTCTGCTCCTCTACCTCTGTCTTCCTCCGCTTGTGCTTCTCTCTCGACCACACTTGGGCAAAGCAGTTGTGACTTTGAACGGGCTGATGTAACAATATGATTATCACACCTTCAGCTCACACTCTGCCCTGAGGAAACTGAAAAAAGAAGCGCTCAACAGATCAAGGAGGCAGCACCTAAAACTAGTTTAGTCAATTTGAAGACAATTTAAAAACTTTAATAAGAGCAGAAAAGAGATTTTTAAAATAATTTTTACATAGTAGTTTTTTTCTTTTCTGGGCTCAGTGTGGCTGAAACAAATGTGTATGACGTCAGGGTTAGAATCCCTCCTTCTGTATGAGGTTTCTCATATCCAAAATATTCATAGTGCACAGTTGCATCTTTCAAACATTTCACAGAAACAATTCAAAACATCAGTTAAGCCAAAAAAACTGGCATACTGTAATTAAGTTGTATAGAGTGGTGAAATGTCACTGCAGCGAGCATGCATCGCTGCTCGATAAACACGAATGCACCAAACCACATCCTGAGGCTCATTGTTTGACTGTCCCACATCACCTCATCATTCATTGCTACTGTTTTAAAGAGCAATTGGTTAAAAGAGCAAAGGGAGAGAATTAGGGATGCAGTGACATGCGGCCAAGCTCATTTTGCATTCTTTTATTTCAGTAACTCAATAAAACTAATATAATATCAGAGTGCAGATGCTGAAAAACAAAGACAGTACATTTATAAAGATGTGAATTATGTTCAGTGCATACAGTATGGATAGACCGTAACAAAGACAAGCCACCATGAAAGTCTATCTGTGATTCAGTATAAGCCAGAGATCTGTCCAAACTGGAACCAGTTTTGTGAGCATGAGTTGGTTCTAGGTTTTAGTGCAAAGCAGGAAATTGCGGTTTGTCTTCTGCCTCCTCACCACAATGCCATAGCAACCAGGTTGCACAGCGTTGCCTCAGAGAGACAAGTTCAGATGAAAATGGTCTTTTTCCTCTTTCTGACCTGAGACTGCTTTGGTCCTGTTGTTAGTCAGATAATAAAACATAAAGAACATTTTAAAACCTTTACTTTATGTTGATGTATGTGGTTTGTTTCTTTTGCTGCATATTCATATATAGTACAGTCCACTGGACTTATATGACAAAAAAGCTGCAATGATTTACAAGTTTTCCCTTTTTTCTAATTCCAGGTGAAGACAAAACAAGTGAGTTGCAATTTATCCATTACCTAACATGTTTAATTGTTAATATAATGATTAACATGCTTCATTCTAATTGTGCCACCGTCTGTACTATACTGTGCCACGGCGTCGCTGCACACTCTTTATACTGTCCCATCTCTTCAGAGCCACAGCAGCACCAAAGCCAGATCTTTCTCCAAGGTTTTGAATGAGTGACAGAAACAGGAATATGTTTTCTCACTCTTATTAAACAGTTTGATTGGCACTGGCCTCCATTTCAGTGACCTGTCTCAACCAAGGTTTTAATTGTAGACACTAAAAAACAAATCCAGTGTAAGCCATGTGTGAAAACCTGGCAGCTACATGATAAACAAGTAAAAGTGATGTTTTTATATCCCACCATTCCCTAACATGTGGTTAGGTCACTGTTATCCTTAACACCCAACCAGTGATTTTCACTGATGTTCAAGTCCAGTGCAGGAAACACCCCAACATACATTGAACTTTACTCACAGGTATTTTCTTGCTTGTTTTAAAGCTGGGCAAAAACAAACTAACTGCTTGGATATACAGCATGTACTGTAACTCACCACTTCTCCCAGAAAATTGTTGTGACCACAGTTTTTGGTCTTCTCATGTTTATTTCTTTTGTTTGCATTGGAACAACACAAAGCAGCAGAGAAAAAACACAAATTTGATACATTCCACACAGAACTCCAAAAATTCTGGGGGAAATCATCAGAAATAGTTGACCCAGGGAGGGGGACCAAATTGCTGACACCTAAAAAAGAACCTAAAAAAGCCAGATTGGAGTTTGGCCTGTGGACTGATGAGACTAAAATAGAGCTTTTGGGCAGAGCACATCATTCAAAGAAAAGAACACGCTCTCTACAGTCAAGCACGGTGGAGGTTCACCGATGTTTTGGGATTGCTTAGCTGCTTCAGGCACTGGGTGCCGACTGTGTGTGCGGCATTGTGAAATCTGAAGACTACCAACGAATTCTGGGGCACAATGTAGGGCCCAGTGTCAGAAAGCTGGGTCTCCATCAGAGGTCATGGGCCTGACAGCAGGACAATGACCCAAAGCAGACTTCAAAAAGCACCAGAAATGGTTTCAGACAATGAGCTGGAGAGTTCTGAAGTGGCCAGTACTGAGTCCAGGTCTAAATCCCATAGAGCACCTGTGGAGAGGTCTCAAACCAGTAGCCAGGAGAAGGAAGCCTTCAAATCTGAGAGACGGCAAAAGAAGAGTGGTCCAGAAATCCAGTAGAGAGGTGGAAGAAACTCATTGATGGTTACAGGAAGTGATTTCAGTTACCAATACCAAAGAATTTGTGATTGCAACAATTTTCTGGGAGAAGTGGTTTGTTATCTGACAGAAATGCAGGAGTGCCAATATTTTTGGCCATTGTTCACACAATGAAATATATTCACATTTTTCTTTCTTGTCTGATTTGCCTGAAAACTGTGAGTTAAGAAGAAAGCCAGACTTCTAAACTGATGATGTGCTCTGCTCTGTGCCTAACCTCTGTCCAGGCTGTTTGTCAGGTTATACTGTAGATCTGCTGTAGTGCTAATTAGATGCTTTTGATCTCATTTAGAGAAACTTCTAGGTCAAACACAAGAAGTTTTAAATAACCTAAGAGTCAGAAGTAGAAAAGAGCAGCAGTCCTGTTGACTGTTGTTCAAGTCACAGTGATAAGTCACATTTTACAAAGGTTAGCAAGATGCAGGTTTTATTTTCCATCATAGGAACAAGAACGTCACTGATTATCAAGCCTCTGAAACATCTAATATTTTCTAATAGTGGATCTTCAGTGACTGGGATGATCTGTCTGAAAATAACATTTTCTATATAATATGGAAAACTTGTTTTCATCTTATTAACTGATCCTGGTTTATAGAATTTAATAAAGGTAGTCAGTTTATTTCTAGGACAAAGTACAGAAACTCTTTTTTTTTTGTGAGAAACAAATAGAAACTTGTGATCAAAGTTGAGACGAGTTGTCATTCAGTGTTCAGACTGAGACTTCACTGACAAATAACAGTTTATATAGTTTTTATTGTTAAAATCAGTAAGAAGCTAAGCCAGTTAAGATGCTGGTGCAGCGTTATCCCACCACTGTACCACTGTCTTCATACTCCTGTTAAGGTTGGCCACAGGTAGGTTGTTACACTGAAGAAACTGGATTTATGTTGATGTCATCATGTAGCAACTTTTAATTTTGTTGGAACTAGTATTATGAGATTGTGATTATCCTGATCTTTTCCTTGGAATGTACGTTATTCAACCATCTTACCTCCACTCACTGCCACAAATTCCACTTTACCTTCAGACAACTTACCTCCACGCACCATGGCAGCATCTACTGCCATGCCTCCCGACTTCTCAGGAAGTGCCAACAAACCTACACTCACTGTTACCTCAGACTCCTCCAATCAGACACTCAGTTCAACCAACGTGTCTGATAATGCATTCAGCCTCAGTCTACAGCAGTATTAGTCATGTTACAGTAGTACTACAGTACATTTAGCATGATTAGATCCTGAAATGGTTGTTAAGCATCATATCAGGTAAGACTGTTGGCAGTAAAATCTTTCTCTGTGAAGATGACCTCCAGCATGCTCTCCATCCTGCAGCCAGTCCTACTCCTACTACCACTGCACCCCCCTCAAACATGTCCTTACCTGCACCCACCAACCAATCATCCTCTCAGGCAAACACCACTCAAAAGCAGACCTCACCTCCAGTCACACACCCCAACACCACAACGACTCCTACCACCACAGGTTGGAATTTTCTCCAGTATTATAAAGGATTGTAATAACATTGTGTTATTGATGTGAGTGATGAAAAAGGACACAGTAACACTAGAGCTGATGAGGTTTGGATTATAAGCTGCTCATACATGGCAGGCACTTGCTGCACTTGCATGGTGCTTTGAAAGATTATATTAGATTACTGGTGTTGCAAAGTCATATGTTAATGTTTTCTTTTACTCTTTTCTTTTTTACTCTTTTAAATGCTTCCTCCAGACTCTGCACCTCCACGTTGTATCAATTATAAACATAGTTACAATATGTTTTCAGACACTTGTAATAATTATATTGTATTGAGTGTCTGTTTCTTTCTTGCTTTAAAATGAAGACAGTGAAAGTTTATGTTTACATCAAGTATATAATATGTTTTTATCTTCAACATACACAGAAACATGTTCAGCTTCAGCATGAACAAAGTGTCTGGAACAACAATTAAGTAGTGACACTGTCTTTGTAACGTTGACATCATGTAGCAACTTTTAATTTTGTTGGAACTAGCATTATGATATTGTGATTGTCCTGATTTTTCATTGAAATACACATAATTCCGGTGTCTTACTTCCAATCACTGCCACAAATTCCGCTTTACCTTCAGACAACTTACCTCCACTCACCATGGCAGCATCTACTGCCATGCCTTCAAACTCAGCAAGTGGTGACAACAACCCTACACTCACCTCGCCCACTGTTGCCTCAGACTCCTCCAGTCAGACACTCAATTCAACCAACGTGTCTGGTAATGCATTCAGCCTCAGTCTACAGCAGTATTAGTCATGTTACAGTAGTACTACAGTACATTTAGCATGATTAGATCCTGAAATGGTTGTTAAGCATCATATCAGGTAAGACTGTTGGCAGTAAAATCTTTCTCTGTGAAGATGACCTCCAGCATGCTCTCCATCCTGCAGCCACTCCTACTCCTACTACCACTGCACCCCCCTCAAACATGTCCTTACCTGCACCCACCAACCAATCATCCTCTCAGGCAAACACCACTCAAAAGCAGACCTCACCTGCAGTCACGCAGCCCACCACCACAACGACTCCTACCACCACAGGTTGGAATTTTCTCCAGTATTATAAAGGATTGTAATAACATTGTGTTATTGATGTGAGTGATGAAAAAGGACACAGTAACACTAGAGCTGATGAGGTTTGGATTATAAGCTGCTCATACATGGCAGGCACTTGCTGCACTTGCATGGTGCTTTGAAAGATTATATTAGATTACTGGTGTTGCAAAGTCATATGTTAATGTTTTCTTTTACTCTTTTCTTTTTTACTCTTTTAAATGCTTCCTCCAGACTCTGCACCTCCATCGTGTGAGTATCAGTTTAAAACATAGTTACAATATGTTTTCAGACACTTGTAATAATTATATTGTATTGAGTGTCTGTTTCTTTCTTGCTTTAAAATGAAGACAGTGAA